ACACCAGATGCCTCTATTTAGCAGATGACAGACCAAGTTAGCCTGTTACATTTGGCCCAGGCAGTCACTCCAGAAGGATAAGACCATGGTGCTACAACTATAAAAGAAGTAGTCTTAGAAAGAAGCTGTGACTTTCCTGCCTGAAGTCTCTTTAAGTTTGAATATAGCTTGCATAGAAAAGATCAGGGCCTTACCTTTCCATAATAATTTGCATAACTGTTTTTTTAATTAACCAAACTTCTAAACAGTCTCCTTAAACATATTTATGTAAAAAAGATAATCTTCCATTAGATCTTTCCCACTTTACGTGACATACATACAAAAACGTGCTAGCTAGTGGGTTAAATCCCATTTTGAGAGCAGTAACAGCACACAGACATATCACTGTCAAAAGAATGCTGATTTACATAGTGTGATCAGTAGATCTGCTCTGACAGATTACGTATTTTGTATCTTTATTAACTGTGCATCATTTTTACATTCTGTTCCAGTTAGCTTGTGACAGTTAACTATTTTTTAAATCAGATCTCAAGGCAAAGAAATGTCAATGTAGAAAAATAAATACATTACTCAAGCTTCTTCAAAGTATTGAACTAAATGACACATCAACTTAAATTGGTGAAATCACAGTGAATAGCTTTAAATAGAAATATTTTTGAAGTAAAAATACCACAGAGCATTAGACATTTTATAAAGTTGAGTTAAATTAGTATTAGAAAAACTATTACTCTTATGTTTTTATCACATATTGAGCTGGATCTGTCTTCCTCTGAAGTCACCAGGAATATTAACATCAATTTAATTAACTTGAAGCAAGATTTAGCCCAGAAAGAGTTATTTTACCATGAATAAAGGAGCAAATGAAGTCTGAATCTCAGCTTTTCCAGCAAGGCATTGAACTCAGATCTACAGAGATATTTAGATACCAAACTCCCACTGGACAAGAAATAGACAGGTAAATATATTTAAGAACCCGGAACTTACTAGCTCTGATCCATATTGAACACAAAATGTATTCACCATTTCCCAAGACAGGTGAATAATAAGTATAGCAATGTGGGAAACAGCAATATAAAATCAGTATTATAAGAAAGGGTAGCTCAACCTCTGCAATGATTCATTCCAACATTCATTCCCAACCATGGGAACTCAAGGCTACTAACAGCTACATGCAGCTCGGTGGGTGGTGGTCAGTTTTGGACTTTGTAGGCTGTTTCTAACAATCACCTCCTCCAAAGCAACAGAGACAGGCTGGCTGGAATCACTCTGCAGGACAGATCCAGCCAAGGTGCACCAGCTAAAACACCTTGTTTAAACCACACGTGACATTCTGATCTGAGATATACCGAAGTTAATCAGAGGCACAGAGATGCTAATAGGATCAGAATCTAGCTTAGTATCAGTGTAAAGACTGTGGTCACTCACTGAAGTATCTCAGATTAGTAACAGATTACTCTGCATTGCTTTCTCGGGTCTCAAAGGAAAACTGCAGTATTGCCAGGACAGTTTTCAATTACCAGCCTTTATTTTGAATGTGCACTATATAGATCTGTGCAGGCCAAGGTGACACAGAATTTTTTTTTTTTTCCTGAAAAATACACTAAGTGAACAAGGGGAACTTGTTTTTTTTTCCCTCTATTTTTATTCTGTTTTCAAAAAATAAGGCTGTGCTAAATGAAAGTTCATTGTATCTTTCTTTCACCTTGTGCAAATCTGGAATTTGCTTTGATTCCAACTATGACTTGTTTAACTTCTGTAATCATGGCATAACTTATTTTTTTTCCCCTTTGTGTATTTTGCAAGTCTTTCATTATTTACATAGTTTTTTAAAAATACACTCTGAAATGTAATCTTATCTGAAATTAGTTTCATCATATATGGTGTTTATGGAGGTACTAGATGATTCTTTTCTCACAGAAGTTTCTTGCACGCATTATTCCCGCCCAACAGAAAAACCCACAGAATGAACCATGGGAGGAAATTTTCCTTGCAATCTTCAAACATCCCAAATGGAGCCTGAAGTTCAAACTCAATTGCTACAGAATAGGCCTTGTGGTGTGTCCAAACTCTGCAGATTTCAAGGAACACTGAGCCTTAGAGGCTTTTTTAAAAGGCCACAGCAAACTCATCAAAGGTTTTGTGTCTCTCCATGAGTCTGGTTTCTCAGTGGGCCTCAACGCGCTGAAGTTGTATTACAAACATTCCATGTAGTCAGAGATCTCTGAACCTCCTTTCCTTTAAATGAACTGTGTAACTCTTTATCTGCTAAGCACATTTATTGATTGCCTTCAGACTTTCTAGAAAAAATCTACCACAGGATGCAAAGATATTATGTGATAGGAAACAGAAGGTAAATTATCCTGGTGAACTAAAGGTGCTAGAGTTTGGAGAAAGAAATATCACCAACAAAGCAGTAATCATCTGTGAATGTATCATGCCTTCCTATGTCACCACCTCACTACCATGCCAGTGGAACTTTGTGGATGTTGTAATTTTTATATCTGCGTATCTTAGAGAATTATCTAGAAATAAATTTAAGTACATCAGATGAAGTCCTATTTCCTAATGCTTTCAGAGATAGATTAAAACCTTACTGTGGCTCTGCTACAAGTATTTTTCAAGACCTCAGTGTTTGTGAGACATCCTTAATTCCAAAATTGAGGATGATTCTGTTACTGGAAAATCTCATCGATTCAGCCTTGTATCACCCTCTGATAATGTCACAAACACTGCTGAAGAGAAGATGCATGCTATGAGAGATGATGAAATGAAAAAAACCTAGCAAAGAAAGTGCAATCTTCCACACGAGTAGTCCATGCTCTCAAGATGTCTGCAAAGCTGGCAGAACACACATCATCCTTAGTGAAACATCTGAGCATTTCAGTCATACTGAGGCAGAAGTTTCTGCATCAAAACACATTTTAGGTTGCTAGAATCCAGCTGCAACATAGTTTTGTTATGATATTTAAAGCACCATTCAGAATGTAGATGAGATGGCTGTGCTAAAGAATAGCTTTATCAGTTTCAGTAAAATACATCCAGAAGACAGCAAAGCAGCAAAAGCAGCATTTTTTTAAAGCAAAACAAAAATATCTTATACAGACTCTGCAAATTTGTAGAGCTGCTGGGATTGTATTTTAATGCAATCTATTCATTATAACTACTATGGGCAAAAAGCTACTGCTAATATATTACACAATAATTCTGCTATCACTTTGAGAAGTATGGAATAGTCAGAGCTCCTAGTGAAACAGGTATGACAGTGCAGCATCTTAAGCATGGCCTGGGCATCTGTGTCAGCAATGGGTAAGGTAAAATTTTAAAAAAATGGTTTCACTGCAAGCACAGACAGGGACCAAAAATTTATGAGTCTTGCATAAAAAGGGATCTTCTAACATGTGTATTTAACTTTTTAATTTTTACCTATTCCAGTCATCACTGCTGACTTGTCCTTGATGAATATAAAAAAAGTCTTGATTTTGAATGTAATCTTCATGAAATAATCTACAAAAATGAAGTGGCTGTGAATGAAAATATGATATGATTACTTTACATAAATTTGGGAGGTCTTTATTGGTACTCACCATCCACAGTAAATACACCTGGAAAAATTATACTAAAAAACTCTTACAGCAGAGGTCCAACTGCCATCAACAAGATGTTTGTTTTTCCTTGGTATATGAAAATATATAAAGTATAAATCAGCCAAAGATGCAGAATGTGTATAATTAAGTCTTACATCTTTGACCATAGTGATTATATTGATAATTTGTAAACCTCTGCCCAGGTCTAATTTATTCACATAATTTATTTTTTATGTAAACAGCAAGAGACACAAGTTACATCAAAGCAGAAAGGAAATGCTGGCAAAACAAAAACTACAGAAAGATGCTGAGGATGGGATTCAGTTACCTGTATATAAGTTTCTAATGGCATCTTGAACAGTCTAGGGACTATCTAGGGATCATCTCTTTCCCACTTGCTGCCACTCCAGAATGGTACTACTTCTCTGTAAGTCCTATGCCATACATGCCAGACCAGTGTGGCTGTCTCAGATATCCTAAGGCATTGAAAATAGTAATGGTTGCTTATATTTAAGTGACAAATCCCACCCTGACAATTTATGTTCAGTGATACGCAATCTCTGTCCAAGCTAACCCCAGAAAAAGATGCAGAGGAGGGGAGAATGGGGACACCCAGGGTAGTCCATCTGAACGAGCTCTGGTCCTGAAACAATACAGCCAAACCAAACTGGTGCATCCTCACACGGCCCCGCTGTGCTACTTAAGTTTATTGGTTGGGTTTTGTCAACTCAAGGATCTTTGCACGATGTTACGTTATGTATTGCAGAAACTGCAGAGTTTAGGGAAACAGGAAAATTTTTGTCTTCCTCTTTGCATTTTGGCTATGAGGGAACAGTCCTCAGATACAGGTGGCTGAGAAGACCAAGGAAGAAATACATACATATTTGTAGCTAGGAAATCTGTCCCAGTAAAATGAACACTAATCAGCTGTCTTTGCTTCTAGACTGTTTTGCTTTTTTTAAAATCTCACCTTCCTTCATTCTCTTGTAACTACTAACAGAACAGAGCATGATTTCGCTTTTCTACTTTCCTTTCATAGCCACTTAGGATCTTGTATCTTTGAAATATGCTGTCCATCAGAGATTGCAATCTGCTTTGTACAGTTCTCAGGTATGTTTAAATCTTCTTTTAGCCTTCAAAGGCTGGCTGAAAGAAGTGCCATTATTTCAGGCTGTAGCTTAACAGTGTATGATCTCTCTCCAGCCTTTGCCAAAGACCTTCATTCGCTGAAGGTCAAGGTATTAGAGTGTTATTTTTAAATATACTCCCGGCAGTGAAGAGTTAAAAATAGACTTCTACAAAAACGTACAGTAATTGGTTAAACCTTGTTAGCCATCACATGAAGATGATAAGTCCTGCCAGGAAAAGACATAGTAAAAGCAGCTTTGACATGGATTTATACTTAGAAGACCAGCTGCAGGCTTACTGGGAAGAGGTTCACAATATAGGCTCTTGGATTATTAGCAGAAAAACAAGCTTGATTCTGGAAAGGAAGGGAAGAAGATAAAAGAAAAAAAATTTCCTCATTGTGATCTCCAAGTGAATTCCATGGATTCTCTACTTTGGAACAACCACCAGTAGACAGAGAGCTTGAAAAGATGGAGCTAGGAAAGGCAAAGCTGCCGAGAACTGGCCTCAATGCTTTATATCAGGCCATCCACCCCATGCATGGAATAGCCTGGACAGACGGGAAGCAAGTGATACTGACTGGTTTACACTATCATAATGGAGAGCTAAAGTTTGGAGACTCAAGCGTGGTTCGTCAATTTGAACATGTTTATGGTCTTTATTGGGGCCCATGTTGCTCTACAGACACCCCAGCTTTGCTCGCTGTTCAGCATAAAAAGCATGTTAGTATTTGGCAGCTGGGCTACAGCACTGCAGAGAAGAACAAACCCTTGATTTCTCAGACGTGTGAAGTTGGTGAGCCGTTTCCACTGCTTTCTCAGGGTTGTGTCTGGCATCCAAAGAAGGAGGTCTTGGCTGTGCTTACAAAAAGAGATGCTTCAGTCTTGCATGCTGTTCGTACTGACAATACCAGAGTTAAGGCACATATCAAAAGCAGTGGGCTTATTCACTGTGCTTGCTGGACTAAGGATGGTAATCGTTTAGTAATTGCTATAGGGAGTGCCCTGCATTCCTACATATGGGATGATGCTCAGAAAACTCTAAAGACCTGCTCCTTTTGCCCAGTTTTTGATGTAGGAGGTTATATCTGTGCTGTAGAAGCCACACTGGATTTCCAAATTGCTGTAGCTACCGAGCTTCCTTTAGATAATATCTATGGTTTGAAAGCAGGCATTGCATTTGATATTCTATCTGGCACAGAAACTGGTTCTTTAGTCTCACAGTCTTCTCTGGTGTTTGGTGATGAGGAATACTCCATGGACCTGCGAAGAAGGTCCACAGATTCAGGTAGATCAGGTGCTGATTCAGATGCTTCTTCTTCATCAGGTCCTGTGGATTTAACCCGTATCCTTGCAAACCACCGTCGATCTGATCCCGGTCCTCTTATTACTCTGAAACGCAAAAACTCTGCAGCAACAGATGGTCAAGATTCTTCTCATCTGATCTTGGTGACTTTTGAGAGGAAGGTAACCACCACCAGAAAAGTCACTATCCCTGGTATTCTGGTTCCTGATATAATGGCTTTTGACCTTAGAGCTCAGATTGTGGCAGTAGCCTCTAATACTTCTAATATTGTTTTGGTGTATTCAGTAACCTCTTCCTGCATGCCTCGTATTCAACAAATCCAGCTGGAAAAAAATGAAAGACCAAAGGGCCTCTGCTTTTTGACTGATAAACTTCTATTGATTCTGATCGGCAAGCAAAAGTTCCCTGAGCCTAGTCTTATTCCATCTTCAAGCTCAGACAGGTATGTAATGCGTCTGATGATCAAAGAATTGATGCTTGAAGAAGGTTCTTCAGCATTGTCTGAGACTAAGCAGAATATGTTTTATAACTTTGAATCCTCTGTTAATATACCTGGAAAAAGAAATCTCTTTGAAAACCTTGCTACAGAAGACCAACCTCAAAACAGGGGTCTGTTAATACCAAGAAGCACAGTTATTCAATCTCCTAGTGGCAGAAGAAGACTCACTGAAGAAGTAAAGATCCCTAGTTATGATCAGAGCTCTTCATCAAGTGTGAGTGACCTGGATGAAAAAAGGCTCCCAGGCGACCTCTCAGTGGCCTTGGAAACATCGGATGCTGAACCTACCAGTTGTTCAGTGTCTCTTCCTGGTTTTGGAACACCTACCAGGCTTTCCAGCAGACCATCTTCCCCTAAAGTGCAGTTCAATGTGATGCAAGAAACATCAAGTTCTCAAAAGAACAATTTGTCAAGTGAAGAAGGAATGAGTCACATATCTAGAAATTTAGAGAGAATTTGTGGCAGCTTCAATGAGCTACAACTAAGTCTTTCTGAAATAACAGACTTTGCTAAGAATGGGAGGAGGATATCCTTAGCCTATCCATGTTCACAGGAACCGCCTGTCATTCATGTCACTTACCAGGTAACTTTTTTGTCATCTTAAAGATACTGTGATAGGACACTGAATTTTAAACAATCTCGTATTTATTTAGCTTTAAATCAATAGGATGCAGTTTAATTCTTACCAACCCATGAGAAATGTAACCTGAGTTTGGCATCAAGCTTCATCTATAATGGTATTATAATTTGTCACTGAAACAATAACTCAGGATGATGTGGATAACTTGGAGGATACTTCACATGGGAGATTTGTGTCTGTTCATTCTTCTTTGATTATGCACAACTATCTTGGCTACTATCTGATTTTGTGTGCATCTATCAAAATGAGAGAACAGAGCCAAACAAAGTTGTCAAATGTACAAAAGGTTTATATGTTAGTTTAGTGTAGAGATGAGCCTATGAGTAGGGTGGTACAGTAACCGACCAGAAACATAATAAATTAAAACCTGAGCTCAAATCCAAAGTTTAAAGATAACTAGACTCTCATGAAGACTAAAACAAAGTATTGAATGGAATTTATGGAAAATTCAGATGGGCATGACAAAAAGTTGGCTTATTTCTAATTTAATTTCTCACCACTAATCTTCACAGAGCTGGACATACTCAATTTGTAAAACATATTACCACTTCAAATTTTCTGGAAAAAAAAATCTTTTAATATGTAATTATCATTTTATTAAATAAACAGATGAATGTCGAATCATCACATTCCTATTCCACCTTGTTTTGGCAAAGTTCCTACTGGCTTCAATAAGAATTTCAACTAAGGAATGTAGGTTGGGTAATTATTTCTGGCTATTATTCTTAGTATTATTCACAGTAATACTAACATTATACTGATAATATTTTTGGTCATGCTGATGCTAGTGGTATTGTTGCTAAAACTGGGGTCCCATTCAGGATGTAGATGCCAGTTAGAAACTCATTCTTATCTACTGCAACATAAGCAGCATTATGTCAGAGCAATACATTACATTGTGATGATGCTGAAGCATGTACTTCTCAAACAAATCTGACTTCCTTTTACTTTAAAGGAATCCATACAGACATCTAAGTACCCCTCCTTAAACACACATTAAGGGAATGGTGACTCAATTCAATCATATTCATTACTTTTTAGCAATTGTTTACCTGGCATTTAAGCAGATTCTAGTATGTTAGGTACTCTGGATAAAAGAAAAGCTTTCAACCTGAATTAGTCAATAATTTAACTCGAATACATTATACAAATTCTGGTGAAAAAAAGCAACATGTCTATTTTAAATAATTTAGTATTTTATTTGCCAAGAAGCAAGCCCTTCTGTTCTCCAGCATGTTCAAATTATTTCTGATCTCTTAACATAAATCATCTTATTTATTTAGCAAGCAGCCCTATCTCTTGGATTGGATTGGATTAACCTTTGCAAAGAGAAGTTTTGTTTGTGACACGTAACATTAATCTAAGATCTGAAGTCATTGTGCATGTTTGGTTGCACAAGCAGTAAGAATTAATTATCCTGATTTTTCTTTGGAAGCAAAAAAAAAAATATTAGTGCTTCTAAAATATTGCCAGACTAACCACATTTAGAAAGGAAGACTCTTATTTATCTGAATAGGTTAGTTTCACATTGAGCCAGCAGAAAGCACTGGTAGTACTACATTTTAATGACTCAGAGAAAGTACCACTTAATGTCTTTCCGACACACATAGCTTTTCTGTGTAAGTCTCAACTAATGCCTTGCGTAGCTCAGCCCCTCTTCTGAAATCTAACAGGATCACAGCATGATGCCAAAGAAGAATGAAAAATAGACTGATGGCAAAAAGGCCTCCAGACAGACAAGGAAATATTTGCTTCATAGGCAGCTAATAATTTTCTCAGAAAATAGTTGTTTTGATTAGTTTGGATTCAGACATCTGAACCTTGTTCCTCCTTCAGGAGTTGATTAGCGCTCTGTGAGCTCAGAGACCAGCTGGGCTGTGGGTTCCAGCCAGGCTCTGTGTTCACAGTGCAAAAAGTCAGGAAATAGCTTTATTGCCTTATGATATAAATATCAGCCTGTGGAAAACATTCTAAGCTTTAGGAACACTGCAGTCCAGTCAATAATATGGCCATTATCTTTCAGCTTTTTTGTGCCAAGAGCATGTCTTCTTAAGTCTTTGTATAATCCTCAACACAGCAGAGCCTCAAACTTGATTGAGAAATCTATTGTACTATAAAATATAATAATCAGTACCACATAACCATATTTATGCATTAAAAACATAAAAGAAAAGTTCAAAACATGATAGATAAAAATGTAGCAATAATTAATGGGCAATTGTTGTGCACAAGCATTATTGACATATTTATGTATATTTTCAGTTCTGCTTAGAAAACCATAATGTAAAGCAGAATGTGTATTACTTAATAATTCATAATGTCTGCTCGCAAAATAGCCTTCAAAACCTTTGTTTATTCTGTTAGTGCTAGCCTACCTATAACTCCTCTGAAGTCACATCCATGCAGTACTACCAGAATTTATATTCTTTGTAGCCCATAGCCACAAAAGAAAAACATGATCACTCACACTTTGGAAATGTCACTGCACTATCACTTGTGTAATAGCATTCAGCCACCAGAGGTGACTTGATCATTCAACCCTGAAAAGCAAATATTATTGCTCTTTCATCACATACAGACTTGTGATTCAGGATAATGTGGGAGGGCAGACAGACGAACGCAATAAGACGATATTATTTAAAAAGAAAAAAAAAAAAAAAAGAAGAGATGATCTGTCACAGATTTGTTTCTGTTTCATTTTGCAAAAAGATACTTTTATCATCCTTTTCCCCCAGAAAAGAAACAGCTGCAGAATATTTAAACTAGCCTCATTCAAAAGCTAATTACAGTGGAAATAAAGCCAATCTGGATTTGAAATTAATGGCATTTAGGCAAATCTTTCCAGGAGGAATAAAATTCATCTTAACCTGAAGAATATCTTAAAACTCCTACATTTTGCTTGCAAGCAGTATTATATCAGAAGTGTGTATCACTGAGAGCATATATTGCATAATTAAACAGGAAATAAATATCTTTTCAGCAATTAGTCATGATGATTTCCTTTTCTTAGCACTCACCAATAATTGTATACAAGTCAATTTGTACTTTTATAGCATCTTCATACAATTTACTATGGGAAACTTTATTGCCAAGGTCAGCTATAAAATAAACAATTTTTTTACACAGAGCTGAAAGACGAATAGAAAGGGTCCAAACACATGGCAATAAAGTTCTTCTGATAGAAATACATGAAGTAGAGATAAAGAAGGGGGGGTATAAGGGTGGCACAGTAAAATGAGCAAAGACCAGGCTGCAATGATCAGCTGTAATAAGACCATGAACCTTTCTGAAATCCAAAGGGCAATTTTGACTCAGGTTGAGCAATAGAAAGAAAGTCATGAAAATGATGGAAGAGGAAGGTGATATGACTGCTCCCTGGAGTAAGAAACTAGTCAGCCATCCTGAAGTTTAGAAGGAAGAGATTTAGGATGACCATAAAAGAAAGACCTGAAGTAGTCAAGAGAAGGTGTGATTAATGCATGGATAACATTTTGAGCAAAGGTTGAGGAATTTGTTAGGAACAAATTCTGACAATAATGTTCTGAAACCGATCAATAGCAGACAAGCAGGGCTTATAGAGGAAACACAAAACCTTTTATTAGAGATTATTTTTTGTTGGATACATAGATGCAAAAGAAAAGGAATATGTTATGTCAAAAATGAATCCATGTTTTCATACCGTGCAAAGGAGGTAAAGATCTGAGTTTAAAAAAAACCCAAAACCAAACATGCTCAAATCATAAAGATCATGGAAGCACAAGCACGAGGAAAAAGGCTGTAACTTAGATGCTGATATACCTGCAACAGTAGTTGCATTACTATTAACAGGGAGCCAAAAGTAGACAAATCCTAGCATCCTATCATCTGAAATGTTGATATGCACTATAAATGCAAACTGCACTGGGATTTAATCACCCCTGAGCACCTCAGATCTCTTCCAGCGTAAACATTTTACAGGCTTATGCTTCTCTGATGGGTTAATTAAGGTTGCAACTGGAATGCCCCACATAAGGGCAAGGAAAGATATTAAGATCTCCACCAAAATAAAATCAGGATCCCCCAAAAATCAAACAGGAATCACTGCAACAGCAGAATTAATGACAGGAAAGGGGAGCAGTGCAGGCTGCCAAACCTGATTAATACTACCTGGGGCAACGCAGCACAAGGCTTAATGAGACACAGTACTTTGAATGTCAAAAATCATAGTTCTTATCCCTCTTCAGTGCTCTTGCTTTACCATGTAACTCTTTTTTTTTTTTTTGTCTTCTGGGCTAGAACCCCCACATTTATAATTCACTAGCTTTTTTCTCATCCCACACAATTAATGTGGGAGCAACGCAAAAGCAAGCTGACAAATGGGTACTAAGGTATCAAAACTGAAATCACCACTGAAGCGCAACACAAAGAGCTGAAATCAAGAGTTTAAGAAAATGAAAAGAGAGTTCTAGGCAACTACAGCACTATTCATCTTACAATGCAGAGATATGACTGACTAATGTGATACCTTTCCTTTGTAAAGGAACAGATTATTAACACCAAGGATATGAGGAATATTTAAAATACATGTAATTCAGTACAGTACTTGAAATCATGCCACAGGGGAAATTATTTGTTCAACAGCAGAGAATAGGGATTAATAGAAGAAATATAAGATGTTTAAGGAATTAGCTGGAAGGAAGATAGTAAATCGTTATAGTAATATAAAAGAAAATAGGAGAAATTTGCTAGTGGATTTTCTCATAATTGATCTTCAGGCTAATCTAACAGTTTCATTAATGATCTGATGAGATATGCTAATAAAATCTGTGTATGGCATAAAGTCAGTAGTATTTTCAATAGAGGACCAGGATATCAGGCCTATAACTTGATGACCTAAGCATCTAAAATAAAAAAAAAAAAGTATTGAACTAATATAAAATGCATAGTGATATATTTCAGGATTA